CGAATTGGAGATATGAACACCTAGTGACGCAACGATCCCTTAAACAGAAAAACAGAAAGGTGTCAAATGACTGAAAAGCACTTTTATGGGGGAAATATTAGTGGCAACTGTCAGACAACAACAACAATATATGTCAACCTCACTTAAATTAAATGGAAACATGATGCATTATTCCGGAAAGATTCTCTCCCAATATCTGATTGGTCTTGATCTGCCCAGCCTGGATTATATTAGACAGCAGCCCCTTAATGGCAAAAAGAGGCACGGTAACGAATGATATGGTAATAGGTCATTTGCAGACCACTAAAGGCTTTGTGAGTTTTTATGATTAAAAAAAATAACCTACTGTACCTCCACTTAGCATGCAACCCCTCACCCTCTGAATAGAATAACTACCAGAATACCTTAGCCACGTTTCCAGATTGAACCATATCTAATTTTACATTCCATATGTTATACCAGAACATGGCATGCTGTACATACACCAATCATTCCGCACTACCATATGACGATGCATTACTATAACCCAATATAGTGCATACCAGTATGCTAATACAATGCACTACTTTATACTAAATTTTAAATGAGATAACGCATATATTACAATGTGTCACACTTACTCAACTATATGCTATGCATTATTGAATGCTGAACAATGATACACTGTGTGCAAAACACGGTATGCAGTAAAATATTATATATGATAGTGAATGATGCCGTATAAGGTATGTGTAATACTACATTACAGTATATTATACGATAGGTATTAGAGTAAATAGCTAGTTGCATCATCCTGTGTAGCATAAACTGTTATGTTAGGGAAGTTTAGTAAGAAGAACGCCAAACTCGCATTCGAATGCAGGTGAGAAGAAAACAGGAGAATACGCGCTGGAGTTTTCTACATATATACAGAGGGAGGAGAGGATCGTACCTCGTTCGTTTCATTCTGTTGCATAACCGACAAAACAAGCTGGCCAATGTAGCTGCGGGAGCCGCCAATGACCTTCACCTCCTTCGAGGATAGCAAAGCAATGAGAAAAGTCTTCAGTTCTGATTCGTGGGCTGTTCGTAAATCCGGATTCAAGTCTCCGTTGCGTTCAACGGCGTAATCAAAATGGGCTTTCAACGACTGATGGTTGACCAGAGTCGCCTCGACGTCTCTGAGAAGACGCGTGAGCATCTGCAACAACACAAGCGTCACTAAGAACCGAAGGGGAAGAAGGCAAAAAATGCAGGTGATTCGAAAACAGACACGAATGCATACATGAAGTACATATTAATTTATTCTACTCGTAACTACCAAACAAAATTCTTCTCTGTTTCCGTGTCACGAATCGCAAAGACGCTCAGCGTATTCCCGGACCTTAGTACTTGCAACTCTTGACAGCAACTACACGCTTATGAAGATTCACACTCGATACAGTTATATCATGCAACCCGAATAATGAGATACTGTCACTAACAGCATTTAAACAAATTTTGCCTGATAATCTAATGTCCTTTGCAATTGTTTTCAGTCAACATTAATAATAATTTCTAAATCTAACGATTTGTATATTCAAAGATTCTTGATAAATATACTTTTATGATATTTTCGTAGTAATTAATTACCACAGACAGCATTTATTTTAGATCCATAATAAAGCCAACGCAGTATAACCAAAAATAAAACTGTGATGCTATGATTTAGAATCAAACATTTATTGACATTTTATTATCCAATTATAACTTTAATTTATACTGATATCACAACCTGATTGGGTTATTAGGACCAGGTTGTTTAATTAGAAGATTTCAGACTCAAGCCTGCTGTTAAACAAGGCAATCCATGCAGACGGCAGAAAAACAAAAATCAACGGTGAACCAGATAAGCTGAATGAGATGAAAAGCGCCGCAAATGGCATAGTGATGAAGGTGTAAAGGAAACTGACATCAAAAAGGCTGTAAACTTTCCCAACTATCTTCACTTATATACAACGGGATCAGCTCGAACTCCAAACGAATTAGAGAA